CAACCCAGGCAGGGCTGCTTGGCCACATACATACCCAGGGCCACACACCGCTGGGCCGACACCTCTCCTTTTCAGACTGCTGCTCTGACCCCATCCCTCCCCCGCTCCCCCGGCCTCCTCCTCTTCCCTCCTTCCCAACCTGCCTGCCCTGCTCCCATCTCCCACTAGCTCCTGTGCTGCGCTAACACACCTCTGCCTCATTCAGCAGCCCGACCTCACACTTCCATCAGGGCCTGGGTCTTCCCACAACCCACCTCACTTTCCAGCCCACACCAGCACAGTGGGCAGTTCTGTGGGACCGCTCTGCCGGGAGGCGCCCCCTACCCCGGGCCACAGAGCCACATGGCACTCAGAAATGAAATGTGCTGACCCCTTGAAGGATTCCCTGCTCTGTGAGCCGAGGGTGAGCCTCGGCTCCCACCTGGACTGGGAACCCCATGTGAGGGGCCCCTCAGCCCAGTACACAAGTGCTTGATAACTGTCATGGAGTTGACACAGCCCTCTGATGGGGAGAAGGGACCAACCTGGGATCTTATACGCCAGTTAAAGCAGAAAATCACCAGGCTCCCAACACACAGCCAAGCTCCCTTTCCAGATCTGTCCCCTCTCTCTGCCGTGGGCACAGCACACATGCTAGCAATTCATTTTTAATGACTCTAAAATAGTTTTCACCCCTCTGTAGCTGTGGGGTCAGGGGCGAGGCCGTCGTCCCAGCCTCAGAGCGCGCCCATCTGGCTGGGGACCCGGCCCTCACAGCAGCATCCCACCCAGGCTCTGGAGAGGGTGGGCGGTGAGGGGACGAGGGAGGGAGGGAGGCAGGCAGGCAGACTCACGTAGGTGTCGTGGTCATACAGCTCCACCACGATGCTGGGCGGCTGCTCAGTGATGCTGGCCAGCTCGCCGAAGATCTCGATCTCGTAGAAGATGAGCGTCTGGTCCCAGGTGGGGTTCAGGGTGTTCTTCGCCACCACCGTCTTCTGGCTCTGGTGCAGGAAGGAGACGATTGCGTAGGGATCTGGGTGGGCCGGGTGCAGGGAGAGGAGACAAGATACAGCAGACACTGTGAAAGTCATGTGGCCACAAAGCTGGAGTAGAGCTTTGACTGCCTCTTGGAAGCCACAGCGTCCAGGCTGGCGCCCTTTCCCAGGGGCTCGCCCTGCCCTCCATGAGGCCAGTCTGTGGGTCACCACAGGCAGGGATTGGGGGCCAAGGTCCAGGAGAGCAGGCACAGAGATCCAGAGAGCTTTCCCTGGGCTCCTTCCTGGGCTGGCTGCTGGGGGCAAAAGTCCAGCTGGAGGAAGCATGGATGGTACATTCATTCATTCATTCACCCAACAAGCATGAACTGAGTGCCTTCTGCATGCCAGGCTACCGGCTAGGTACTCGGGGCCAAGCAAAAATGTAATCTACACAAACATAAAATCACAATTTTGATCAGTTCCTTGAAGAAGAGACATAAGGTGCAGTGGCGCGTGAGAGAGACCCAGCTTTCTTGCTGAAGGGACAGCAGAGAGAGACGTTGGTGTCATCAGACGGGCACGCCTGGGTCTGCATTTCATCAAGCTCACCCCAGCTGCCACGTGGAGAACATGTGGACATAAATGGGTGCAAGGAGACCAGTTATGAAGCTTCTGTAAGGGTTCAGGCAGAGACAGTGGGGGCTTAGATGCCAACAGGTGCTAGAGAGAAGCCAGTGGATACAGGGCTGTTTCGTGGTGAGTGGTGTAAGGGGAACTCTAAGATCTCTGCAGCTCCCTGCCGCCCCAAAACTCCTTTCCAGCCTGCCAGCCCCAGTCATGCTGGCTGGAGACCCACCCACTGGTCATTTCCCCTGCCTGGTCCCAAGGCGTCACTAGAGAAGATTCTAAAGCAGTGGTTCCCAAATGTGAGCACACAGCAGAATTGCCTGGAAGGCTGAGAGAGACAGCTGGGCGCCGACCTCAGAGACTCATTCATCGACTCTGGGAGGGGAGGGGGGAGGAAGTTCCCAGGTGCCGCCAATGCTGCCTTTTGAGGCTACACTTGGAAACCAGCGCAAGAGAAGGTCCTAAGAGACGGAGTGCGTGCAATCTGGGACAGAGCGAAGGGCTTGGAGGAGGGGGCCCCTCCGCTGCTCTCCTTAGGGGGCAGAGTCCAGTCTGCCGCCATTTTGTAAGACTCCAAGTGCCAGATGCTGACTGAGGGCATGCAGACAGGGAAACCTGGGGATTTAAGAGGCTGGCAGCTGGATACTAGAAGTCTGGGAGGGCTGAGCCCAAATGCCCTATGATGTGCCCTATACCTTTGGCATCTTTTCCAACCCACAGCACCTTGCATCCTCTGTGCCCTGCCAGGGAAGCCACCATGTGACCTCAGGAGGGCCTCAGCCCCAGAGCTCTAGAGCTAGGATGTCCAACTGCAGTCCTGGGGAGTGGGGAGACAGCGCTCCCACAAAGAGTGGGGGAGCAGGCCAGGCTCTCTGGCCAGAAGGAGACCAAGCGGCATGCCATGGCCACTGCACAGGAGGTGACAGAGAGTAACCGTCGAACAGGTGGACAAGTTGGGGTGGGCAATGGGAGGCCTCCCGTTGAGGGATGGGGTCAGGGGGAGGGTCCAAGCTTCTGGCTGTTGCCCTAGGAGCTAGTTTTAAGGGTGAGAGGGGATCTAAGTTAGGAGGCAGAACTATGGGCACTCACTGGCTGAACAAATGCTGGGTTTGGCTAACGGGAAGCAGGTGCCAGGCCAGGACCAGCTTGTCCGCCTTCAGGCACAAAAGCACAGTGGGGTCAGTCCCGGAGGGTTTCCGGCAGGAAATGGATTTTGAACCTGATCCCAGAGGTGGAAGAGGTCAACGGGAGGCCGGCGGCAGAAGAAGGGGCAAGAGAGACATGCCCACCACATGTCTGCCACCCCACCTGGTGAGGGCCTCCCTGGCATGGGGAGCCCGCTTGCCATGCACCAGGCTGGCCCAAGCCTTTCCCCTCCTGCCCCTGGCACGGCCCAGCGGCGTCTGTGCACTTAATGGAACCGTCTGGCTGTGATACCATCAGTTCCAAGCTCGGCAGAGAACCTCTCCCGGTTCCAGTAAGGGAGAGAGGGCGCGTTCCGATAAATAAAACCGTATTAGAGAGCCAGCGAAAAAGCCCCTTTTGTTCCCGCCCCCTGTGCTTCCCAAAGCTTTATTTTTATAAGCACGCGGGCCCCAGACCGAACGCGTTTACACAAAGATCACAATTGCGCATTGTGGCGGCCGTGCACGCCGTATTGGTGTTGGCAGCACCCCCCACGCCGGCCCCCGGAGTCGGCCGGCTCCTTCCAGCAGCCCCATCAGCGCAGGCAATGAGCTCAGCACGGGGGGAAGGGAGGGGGCGGCTTTCAAACAAAACTCACCCAGACCCACACGCGCACCCCGCCCGCCCAGGGGAGGAAAAAACACACAACAAAGGCATTGTAAGGAGCAGGCCTGGAGGCCTGGGGGCTCAGACACTGAGCTACTGTGTGCTGGGGCCCAGCCTCTCCCCGCACAAGGCCCAGCCCCTCAGAAAAAGAGAAACAAGGGGGGTGGGGTGTTGCTGAAGCAAGGTGGTCAGATGAAGGGAAGCCAGACGGATGGACGCACGGACACATGTCTCTTCCAGGAAAGCCAAGAGGAGGGAGAGGCAGATCCCTGGGAGGTGGGGAGGAGCTGGGAGGGCCTGGCTCTTCCCAGGACCACTCCCGCAGGAGAGGGCCAGGATCAGCCCTCCAGCCTCACCTGCAGAGCCCGAGCCATACAGAGCACCTCCGGGGCTAAAGCTGGGCTGGAGCTCTCTGAGGACCACAGGCTGCCCTGGGAGCTCCACGCAAGGCTTCCATCAGACCCATCACCACGAGAGGCTCCGGGCAGATGACTGCTGGACCTGCAGCCTGGCGCCCGATCTCTGCTGCTCAGACTTCCCAGGAGCTCCAAGGAGACCCTTCTTCAGTCGCAATACACTAAGCTTCCCTCATGCACTGTCCCATCAACAGCTCAGGCCACCAGGGGCAGGGCAGGCAGCATCATCCCACTTGTCAAAGGAGGGAGCTTTGCAAAGACCAAGTTACCAGCCCACGTTCACACGTGCGTGGGACCAGACTCCCTGACTCCAGGGCCAGTGATCCTTCTACACACCAAGCTCACAGGAAAAGGATCCTTAAGACAGGGTGGAGTAGACTGCTAGTAATCAAGGCAATGCGAACCCAAAACTACAATACAGGAATATTTTTCTTATAAAATTAAGAAAAAATTAAACAATTTTATAAAACCCAGTGTTGGCAAATATTTGACGAAATAGGTACCCTCCTTTATTGCTGAAAGCAATTTGGCAACCCTTCAGGAAAGCAACTGGGCAGGATGCCCTGAAAAACAAAAAACTGTTTACACCCTGTTTCCCATATTCCTGGGAATCATCCAAATTAACCAAAAAGCTATATGAACAAAGATATTCACTCTGGCATTATTTGTAATCCTCACCCGTTCAATACAGTTACTGACTGACCAGCGTGTGGGGAGTAAGCACAGCGCTGGGAATGTGAAGATGCATGAGACGTGGTCTGGGCTCCTAAGATCAGGTGGTTGGAAATGGTAACTAAACAACAGCTATGGTACCAAGCGATGCAAAACTTCACAGCGGAGGGTACTAGGCGCCAGGGTGGGAGTACCCCATGGAGTCTGGAGGCATCCAGTCCGTCCTCCCAAAGGAGGTCTCCTACCCTGAGTCTCAAGAATAAGGAGGTAACCAAGGAAAAGGGGTGTCCAGGCACCCAGTGCAACACGGGCCAAGGCAGCCAAGAGCACTCGGGGAAAGGCTAGTCTGTCCGAGGCGGGGAAGGGAGCGCCCCCAGGCTGCAGGGACAGAGCGGGGAGGGGGAGCCGGGCTGATGGCAAACGGTCCTGGATTCATGCCGAGCAAGCTGGACCGAATCCTGCAGATCAGTGTTTCCCAAAACGCGTTCTTCGCAACACGGGTTCTCTGGGGAAGCAATGAACGCTTACCCAAGTCCAACAGGCCCCCTTGCTGCAGCCCCCTCAGAGCCTCTCTGAGCCACTGTGCATTGTAAATCCTGCAGATCGCTAAGTGCGCACTGTTCCCCACTCTCTCTCGCTCGGGAACCCTTTTTAAGTGGAGCGTTTCACAAGCCTCCAATGCACTTTGGAAAGCAGCCGCTTAAGCTCATCAGGAGAACTCCCCCAGCCAGAGCCAACCTTCACAGAAACCTCTGCTTCCACAGAGGCGGTGGGCCACGACCGGAGTCCAGACCAGGGAAGCCCGCAAGCAAAGACTCCCCAGCCTCACTCAGCGCAGAGTCTGGGTGACCTCACTGTGTCCTGGCCGGGCAGCAACCCGCCTCAGGACCACCCAACGAGCTCACGGCTTTGACCTCCCAGGAACCATGAGGCCAGCACAGAGGGCACAGGACCTTCTGCTTTCTTGGCAGATGGATACTCCACGCCCAGAGGTTGATAACTGAGCCTTTGACCTACTTGCCTTCTCTCCCTTGCCTGGTTGGCCAAGTCAGGCCTCTGAGCCCACTGACCCGTGAGACCCTCAAAGAGGAGTCTCTGGGTGCCTGGAGCTCAGGGCCATCCCCTGGGATGCAAGCTGCCCCAAGGCTCCTCCATCTTGGTCCAGCGCTATAAGCATAAACACACCAGTGGTTCCCGGCTGGGGGAAGGGGCAAAGCAGACTTCCCCGGGGTACAGCTTGACATAGGAGACAGCTTCCTCCCCTGATCCTCTTTGAGGAATATTGGTCTGCAGTGAAGAGTAACAGCTCCGACAGCTGTCTGGAGACCCAGTGCTGCCCATTAGGTATGGCGTTGAGGACATGTGACTGCTGAGTTCTCTGGAACCCTATCTTTTCTGTTCAGGGCAGACCCAGTGTGTCCCCCAGGGACTCACCCAGCAGCGGCAACCCTATTCCAATGTAAGAGAAGTCCTTTGAATTAAGCGTTGGTTCACATTTTTCATACCTAATCACTACACAGGCCACATGCACTCATAACCACACAAGCACAGGCCACACACACCCTTCCAGTGGCCCAGAGAATTGATGCTGGTCCTCCACTCAAACCCCATCCAAGGCCAAAGCCTCAGGCAACCTACATGGCACCATCTCCACAAGCCTCCCGTCCAGGCCGAGTTCAGTGTTATCCAACAAGTGCTTCCTGGGCCCCACACCCTCTGCCAAGGAGAAGGAAGGAGGCACAGCCCCGGCCCTGGAGCAGCCCCAAGGCCCACCACACAAAGGACAAGCAGAGAGCGTGGCCCGGGGCTATGGGAGCCCCCCACCGGGGGGAAAGCACAGACACCACAGGTCAGAGCACTCGCCAAGGGGAGCCCGCTGCGCCCCAGACGCCAGCAGGCAGGCTGGAAGATGATATGAGGGGCAGACTCTGGGCTGGACCCTCCCCTGGCCCCAAACGTTCCCGATTCACACAGGAGTTTCCTCTGAGAAATGCCAGCCGGTGGCCATGCACAGCCTCCAGCCGCCAGCCACCCCAGGGTCAGTTCCAGGGGAGAAACTGCTTTGGTTTAGGGTTTGGGAGTGAAAATAAACACTCTGGGTTTTATAGGTTCACCCGTGTTGGCTGCTGTTTTCCTTTCCAGCAGCTGCTCAATCAGGCCTTTCATTCAGAAGCCAGTGGCCTCTGAGGAAGCCCTGGGCAGTGCCCTCAAAGCTCAAGGGATGTTTATTTGGGGGAGGGGGTGGAGCTAGGGTGGAAAGTGTGACGTCTCCTGCAGGCCAGCACCAGGCTGACCCTGCCTGCTGTACCCAGATGTGCGGGTCCCCGGGCGGCACTCCCTCTTGCAGGGTCATCCACCAGCAGGGAGGACAAGGGGCCCTCCACCTGTACCCCACTTCACCCCATCCCCACGCAGCCCCACCGCCTGCAGCCCCATCTCTCACATCCTCCCCTGAAGGAAGAGGAAGCAAAGTCATGAATTAGGGCACTTCTCTTTTCCTCAGGGTACGTTCTGATGGTCAGAAAGCATCCTGGCAAAGGTTCCCAGGAAGCTGCAGCTGCAGGTATCTGCATCCCCCAGCGCCCTGCCAATCCCTCTGTGCTGGTTTCGCACATGCGTTGTAGAGGGCGGTCTAGGCACCCTGGACCCCAAGCACAGAGGAGAAATTGCTCCACCCATCCCACGCCTGGCTGCATGGGGCTGGAGAAAGGTCACAGAGAGGAGAGGAAGGTGGGGAAGCACGGCTGCTGGGGAGAGAAACCAGAGTGGTCCCCCACGTGGGGGGAAGTGGGGCCGGGAAAGGACAGGTAGATGGCTGTGAGCTGCGCTCCATTCCGTGAACAGGAAGTCACTCTCCTAGAACTCAGTTCTACTCAACTAAGTAGCAAGCATTTGGAGGGGGGTCTGTCACTTGTCAGCTATTTTAACTTAAGCAATTTAGTTAACCTAGCTGAGCCTCAGTTTCTTCATCTGCAAAACGGGGATGTCAAGTGCCCACTTCATAAGGGTTATATGAAATAACATCAGCAAAACACCTGGGCTCTTGGTGAGCCCTCAGTGTCAGTTTTTAGACATCAAGTGCTGTAGGCTAAGGGGTAACTCAAGGCCCCTTCCTGGGGGAGCTCAGAGTCATGCTGGGACGAACATGGCAGAGATAGGTGACAATCCATCTATGCAGTGGGTAAGGGCTCTGAGAAAGGTGTTGGCGAGGTCTTGGCCAAGTCCTGGGGAAGGAACAACCAGTGCGGCTTGGGGAAGAGTCAGAGGGCATCTGGGCTGGGTCTTGAAGGATGAGTAGGAGTTCACTGGATTAAAAATACAGAGGGAATGCATTCTAGGCAGAGAGAACACTGAGTGCAAAGGCCAGAAATGTAGAGGAACTAGATAAACATTGACAGAAGTGGGTGGGGCCAGAGCTAGCAGATAGAGAAGAATTAGGGTAAGATAAAACTGGTGAGGTCCACAGGGGTCAGATCACAGAGGAGATGCCTGCCAGGCTAAAGAGCTGGGGATCCATCTGTCAGTGTCTATGTTTGAAATCAGGGCGTGACGTGACCAGATCTGTCAGGGGCAGCGCGGAAGGTCACAGGGAGGCCAGGAGACGACCAGGGTGTTGAGACAAAAGAGGCAAGGCCAGTGCGGGACGGCAGCTGTGCTGCTGAAGAGAAGGGAATCACCTCCGAGAGAGACTCAGGAGCAGAATCAACAGAGCTGGGCACCTGACTGTTCCCACCCTGACAGGTAAGAGAGGTGTGTGGATGTGACACCAGCACCGAGGTAGCAAATGAAGGGGAGGCCTGGATCTGGGTGGGGGCAGTGGTTACACGGAATTCAGCTTGGACAGGATGGACTAAGGTGCCTCTGAGGCTTTCGGGGGGAAACACCTAAAGCGTGGCTGGACATGAGGGGCTCCGAGGAACTAAAGGCCTGGAAGCTTCCCTGACGTGAGTGTTTACTGGGTTGGTGGGGGGACCCCGGTGCCCAGAGAAGAGAACACGCACAGAACTCTTGGGACCATCAGGCTTAGAGGGCAGTGAAGCATCCGAAAAGGAGCAAGTGGGGTAACAGGAGGCTGCAGGAGACCGGGGTGGGGGCTGGTCCCGGGACAGGGCCAGAGGGGCTTTCAGGAGCAGGGGATGGATGGTCAGGAAAGCCAAACCCTGCAGAGGGGTCAAGCAGGCCACCTGACAACCAGGAGGCCACCGCGACCCTGACAGCAGCACCCACCTCCACAAACCCAGCAAACACAGCACCCCTCACCCCCACCACGGGAGGAGCCCGGGCCGCGTTCCCTGTGGTCGGAAGACCGATGATGACTCCACGCCCAGGTCTCAGTCCCCAGTCCCTGGCTCTCCTCCCTCCCCCCACCTACCGGAAAAAGAGTCCTTGTCCATCGCAGGCAGATCCCGGGCCTGGTACATGTAGCAGCGCAGATGGTAGCGGTTCCCGTCTGCACCGAGGAAGAAACAGAGGCCAAGTGAGGGGCTGGGGGTGATTACAAGCCAGGGCTAGAGGGGAGGATGGAGTGTGCCCCTAGGAAGGGCAGCGGACAGAGGGGCTGGGCGATAGGAATGACACGTGTCACACTGCGGGAGTTAGCTGCTCTCAGGATCCTAAGAGTAGACCGCAGCCCAAAGGGTGATGCCCAAGTGACACGTCCGTGGACCTGGCGAGAGTTGGGGGGCAGGGGCGCAGAGGAGGGAGAAGGGGAGGAGGGGCCAACAGATGATGGGGGCGGCCACAATGCCAGGTTTCAGGATTAGAGTTGACACACACACCACATATAGACGAACCCACACGTGCACACGCCCACGCGCACACCCCAAAAAGACAGCGACCCACCAAAAAAGCACGGGCTCAGATCTCCACAGCCCCGACATGCACCCCTGACCATGTGACCCACACAAACAGAAACGCACAGTTACGCACCCACCCATGTCACCCTGCAGATGCTCCAAACAATGTCACTTACAGTCGAAGATGCAGGAAATCGTGGGTCTGTTCACGCCAAAGCTCAAGGTGGAGACGGACGTGGAATCGTCACTCCTGTCATCCACCACGCCGCCCTGGAGACACAGAGCTGGTCACAGCAGATCCCGACCCCAGAGCCTGGGAGGGGCCAGGAGACTGGCTCGGGAAGTCAGGTCCCGGGGTCCTTTAGACAGAGCTCCTCGCCTGCCGGAAGCTCTGATTTCACTAGGGGAGTGTGTCCTCTCTGACAGTGCCCCCAGACCCTAATGTCAAGTCCACAGGGAAATTCTTCCCCCTCTCCAGTGGTGACCAGACAGGCCAGAACGGGATTTTGAGTTGTCCCAGCCCAAGAGGTTAGAGTTTGATAGAAGGCAGGACTTAATGGGCTCTCTGGGGTGGAATCCGGGTATCTGCCTCGGGTGATGGGCTAAGGGGAGCCAGAGTCTGGAGGGCCCCACCCAGCATCTCTGTTCACACGTGTGGACACAGCGCTGATGCCAGAGACATACAGGCACTTATCTGGGCCCCCAGCTCCAGGGAGGGGCTGCCCTGCATCCTCCACGGCTTCCACCAGCTCCTACGTGCTGACAGTCTGAGGAAGCCTCAGGCTAAGGACAGAAGCGGAGACGGGGTGGGTCTGCACTGGAGCTCAGAAGATGTGCATAAAGCTAGACGCTCAGTCCCCTCAACTCGCCCTCATTAGTGCTGGGCTCTAACCACTGGACCATCGCCCACCTTCCCTGGACAGAGGCCCACCCCCCGATGTAGTGCACCCCTCTACCACCACCTCTGCCACACCACAGCCCCTCATCGGGCTGCACCGTCTGGGGGACTCAGAGACCCCGCAGGGATCAAGGCCCCAACCAAAATAGGAAATGTGCCAGTCACACCGCAGCCCAGCCTCCCAGACTTGGCTTCTGTGCCATGAGCTCCACCAGCCTCCCAAGGCCAGGAGCCCAGCAGAGGGACTGGAGAGCTGGACAGCCTTCTCGCGCCGTCCGCTCCCTCTGCACTCCCTCTCACCTCTCCTGGCGCTGTCCCCTGCCCCGGCCCCCTGCCCAGTCCCTCTTCCCAGCACACAAGCATGCACACACCCTTGAAAGAAAACCCCAGCCCCCATGGCCTTTTCATTCTGCACAAGCCCACCCAGAGTAGCCACTCCCCGAGGCCGTTCAGCTGGGCCACCTGACCTCCACCTGCATTCGTTTCCAGGAACCTCGACCTCTCCCCAGACCCTGCAGCTACACTATCCGTCCATGCCTCCAAATACAAGCTGCTCCCTCACCGACATGCTCCTCCTCTCAGGGCCCAGCCCCAGACCTCCGGTCCAAGAAGCCTCCCTGGGTGCTTGCCCCCCAGCTTCTGATCTGTCCACACCCAGGGCCAGAACCAGCCGCGTTACCCACTTGGCTCCCGGCCTGAATCCTTCCGTGGCTCTCACCTCCTAAAGGGTCCCGGTCAGAACCCCAGTGACCTGCCCCATCTTCCCCATCCAATACCCAGGCTCACTTCCCCTAAACCTGCACTCTGCAAAGCTAGCCCAGACTCACACCTGCCCCCATCGCAAGCTCCTGCTGTCCCCCAGCCAGAAGTGCCCATCCTGCACATCTCAAATCTTAGGACACCCAGGGAAGGCCTGCCCCGGTCACTCTGGGTCCACAAGGAAATGCATCCTACAGGTGTGCCGGGTCATCCTCTGCCCCATTCACAATAGGGCCCACAAAACACATGCACGGGAAAGACATCTTCATCTGCTCTCCCAGGGGACCCATTGAGGTCTTATGACAACCAGGAGGGTTCTGGCTCTCACCACAGCACACCCTCTTTTTGACAGGGAGATACAGTGACCCCTTTTCCTTCGGCCACAACTTCAACACAAGCTCTAGAATCCGATTTCTTGGGGTCCAATTCTGGCACTGCCATTTACTGGCTGTGTGACTTTGGACAGGTTGCTTAACCTCTCTGAACAAGTCTCTCTGTAAATTTGGGAAATCTACAGTATCCATCTCAGAGAGTCGCTGTGACTGTAAAGGAGATAAATTACACTCTGTGTTAGCACACTACCTGGCACCACCGTAAATGTTCAATAGATTTGCTATTAATGTTCTTACGAGAAAAATAAGGCACAGAGCTGGGGAGCAGGTCATAAGCTATGAAGTTGGTCATTGTGCGCAGGGGTGGTATTTCTATATCCCATATTTGTTCAAAATTATTCCAGGAGCTGGAAAAGTGGACATTTCAGCCACAGCCCTGGGCAGAAATCAAAATCAGTCAGTCGGGCAATCAATCTCTCCCTGCCCCCCACCAACACACACACACACACACACACACACACACACACACACACACACACACACACACACACACACACACACACACACACACACACACACACACACACACACACACACACACAACGAGCAGGGTAACAGGGAGGGACGTCATACTACAGACAGAGAAGAACCCAAAGGCCTGTGTCTGAAACCCTCCCTCCCGGCAGGTGTGAGCCCTGGGCGTCCTGGGTTCCCGCCAACAGAGGCGCTGGGCCCGGTCACGTGGTGCAGCACCAAGTCCAGTAGCTAATGGCTTCGGCTGCCAGGCCTACGAGGCCGCACATAGAGCCGGACCCAGGGGTCCAGCAGGCCGCCCCAGGCGGGAGGTGCGGAAACGCCAAGGAAAGCAGGTCAGGACGCTGGAAACAGGGCTTGGCCAGCCCCCAGGTGCAACAACGCTTAGCGGGCAGCTCAGTGCACCTTGGCGGGGGACGGGCTGGAAGGCCCAGGACTTTGCAGCCCCTCCGCCTCAGCCTGGCCACACACACGTGCCCCCCACCTGCAAACAGGGCGCAGAGGTGAGTGCAGGGGGGGACCCCCACAGGCCCCAGAATCCCTCTCTCCCTCCAGGTGCAGGGACCACCGTGCTTGCAGACTGCGGCCCGGGCACATCCGCACCCACCTCGCACCTCCTCTAGAGGGCGTCCCCGAGCCGCCTCCCATCAGCGCCACTCCCACCAAAGGGCCTGTCTGGGGCTTTGGCAGCACTTCCTAGGTCTCTCTCCAAAGGCAGGGCTCCCCCGCCTGTGCTCAAAAATGGTGCCCCCTCCCTGGGATTTCCACAAAGGCCGGGGCCAGGTACCTCAGACCCTGGTGCTGAGAATGACATCCTTCAGAGGGAGAACCAGCGTTCTCTCTGGGAGTGGCCCTCGCGCTGCCTGACTTCTCCACCTGTCCTGCCTCCACTGGAGGGGCCCACAGCCACCCTGCCCTGGTCCACAGGGCCTCTTTCCACACCCCACCCCCATCTGCCGCCCAAGTGTGGCCCTGCCTCCACCTCCCCTCCCCTCCCCAGCTGAAGGAGACAGACAGGGATTGCTGGGAAGAAGCTGGGAGAACCAGGATGACACATACACCTGGAGCCCGGCTGAGGGACCCCCACTAAGTTCAGTCCCCGCAGGGGAGCCCCAGCCCAGCAGTCTCCCTGGTTCCCACGCTGGGCAGAATTCCACCCACACAGCGGCCAACGTCTTTACATCCTCTGGCCCCCTGTCCCTTCCAGGCGGACCTGGGCTCTTCACGCATCCCCTTCAGAGCTTGGGAGCAGAGGGGAGGCCGGCCCTCCCTCAGAGCCGCACTGTGGCCTCTGTGTCGAGTCTCAAGCAGGCAGGACACCCCCAAACAGCCCCATGGCTGCTGCCTCCACACTCAAACCAGCTGAGCACGCAGGGTCCCCTCTCTCGCCCCCAGGCCTCTTGCACATAGCTCTCTCTGCCCCACTCTTTCCCTGGCTTTTTTCCTCAGGTGTCCTGTCTTATCTTCAAGGTCACCCTGCAGGGATGAGTTAGGCACCCCTCCCATGGTCTCCCACAGAACCCCAAGATTCCCCCTTACTGCATATACCACTACCTTGCATTGTAAATACCCTTTACCTGTCTGCCCCGCCCACAGAGAGCTCTGTGAGGTTTCCGCTTGCACCCAGCACCCACACAGCAGGTGCTCGGTTAATAACAGGAGAAGGAGTGAATGAAGGAAGGAAGGAAGGAGCTCACATCTCAGGTGAGGGGAACAGAGCATAAGCTTTGGGGAGAGCTAGTGATGAAGGCCAGCCCGTCGCCCAGGTCAGGGGATCCACCTGTGCCTCAACACAGATAATCCAATGCCACACTGTCTCCACTTTGAAGCATATTTTCAGTTTTCAGATGTGGACGTGTGTGGCTCACGTTCAGGAAATTTCTCTCAAAGCAAATGATGAAGCCTCGTGAAAAGCTGGTTCAGGAGCTTCTGGGAAGCGTCTCCGCCTCCTGTCAGCCCTTCCCTTCGGCGTCCCACCCGTGTTTATCGGACACCTACTTTGTGACCCCGTCCCACATCCGAGTTGGAAAACAGTTGCTGCTCATGGAGGCTTAAAATGTCCCCGCCCCGGAGGGACCGTCCCTGACCACGTGCAGCGTCACACAGCCCAACCCCACACGCCCTCACACTCACAGTGGCCCTCTCAACTCCTGTTCAGCTTTCCCTTTCCCCACAGCACTCGTTACCCTGCACGTGTGCTCCAGCAACACTAGTGTATGGTCTCCCTGGCCCCCAGAATGTGGGCTCCAGGAGGGCACTCACTGCCTTTGCTCTTGAGACGGGCAGACTCTGCCACACAAAGGCCAAGCGACTTAACCATCGCACGACAGAAAAGCGGCCGGCAGCCCCCGAACTTGCCCTGCACGCTCATAGATGTTCATTTTATAGGCCCTGAAGCTCCGATATACGGAACATCCAGGATGCCGACCCCCAGGCATTGTATGTGCACCGGGAAGGGGAAGGGGGGAACGTGCCTGGAGCTCACTGTGTGGGTCAGAGAAAGGCAGCTGGGGGTGCCCCTGGGAAGCCCCGTTTCGGATCCCTCACTGTAAAGTGTTCATCGCGGTAATACCCACCGCATAGGGTTACTGGGGAAAATGCAGGGGTTTTCAGCATTGGCACCACTGACGTTTTGGGCCAGGAAATCCTTTGTGGGGACGCCCTGTGCATTGCTGCATGTTTAGCACCATCCCTAGCCTCTACCATTAGATGCCCATAACTGTCCCCGTCCTTCAGTTGTGACCATC